AAATTCAGAGCGGACACGGTTTCCGCTGCTGACCCGGAGCTATCCAGGTAGATACTCGCGGGAGGCCGAAGTAGACACGAATCCGGACGAGGCACCTGCCAGTCCGCCTCCGGCTCCGCCCCCAGCAAGAGCAGCAGAAGAACGTCGAAGTGAGCGCGTTCCGCGAAAGCGGAAGTGGGATGAGAGACCTGAGGACAGGCAGCCGGAAGCGCCAGCTGCGCCGACTCGTAGTCGGCCAACCAACGAGCCTCACAGCCGACCGAAACAGAGGGCACGCAAAATGCCAACTAGTACTGAGGAGACCGGGCGTACTCCGGTCCGGCGGAATCCCACGCAGGAGGATATAATCGCGCAAATTCTGGGGAAGTCGGCAAATACCTCTGCGCAGAAGGCACCAATGCCTTCGGAAGAAGACAGACTGACTGACAGTCGGCCGACTACGAGTCGGGCGACTGAAGGTCGACAAACGGAAGGAAGGCCGACTGAGCGGCGCGTTGAACCGGACAGCAGGCCGGAAGCAGAAGAGAGTTTGGCTGACGAGCCAACAACCCTCAGAGGGTCGTCTTCGGCGGAAGGCACTTCTGGGAAAATGCCGCCAGCAAGCAGGCCAAGTGGAGTGAAGACGCGCAGGGTGTATCCGACTGCCAGTTGGACAACTGCTAGTCGGCCGACTGCGAGTCGGTCAACAGAGAGTCGGCCAGATTCGCCGACTGCGAGACGGACAGGGCCGGCGACCAGTGTGCGGACGCCTTCGGCGGACGCACCTCCAGCGAAGACACCTTCCGCGCAGATCGCGCCGGAAGGGCAGGCAGCAGAAGCGGGCGGTGCAAAGGTGACAAAAGTCACTGCGGCGTCGACCCCTTCGGAGACCGAAGATCGAGCCGGAACAGGGGCTCAAGCAGTGGGATCCCCCACTGCCTTGGATATTTTAGCAGGGAGTGGAGCGGCAGTCGCGGCGGAAGCTGCAGCGCGCCACAGTTCCAGGGACTCGCCAAGGGATTCGGTGGCGACTGAAATCCTCGAAACGGAGGATGAGACGAGCTCGGAAGAGCAGGAAGCGGACTCTGTGCAGAAAACGCCAACAGGGGTGTTGTGCGAGCAGATAGTTCCACTCCTGCGATATCTGGATCGCAAGACATCCAAGTACTCGGGTACCGGAAAACCGCAGTCTTACGTGGAGACTGTCAAGCGCAGGACGAGGAGCAAGGTGGCCACTTGGGCCTCTAGGTGCCAAATATTGCAGGATAGGAACACTACCCTCCGACAGCACCTGGCGGTCACGCAGAAGCTATACCAAACCTTGCAACAGCAGAGGGAGGATGCGGCGACGAAAAACCAGGCGGATGCCGAGCTAATACGGGCAAAGATCGAGTCGGAATTGCAGGAAGAGCGGAGACAAAACCGCATCTTAGCAGAGGAGCTTGCGCGCCAAAAGCGCGCCTTAGAAGAAAGTCAAAGTACACGCAAGGAGGATGAGGAGTTGTTGCGCAACTTGCAATCCGAGTGCGCGGATTTGAGGGCGCAGCGCGCAGATGCGGAAATGCAGCTAGCAGAGGTGGAAGGCAGCTGCCGGGCGCGAGAAGAGTTGGCGACGCGGGTGATTCACTGTCTAAAAGGATACGCCCATTGGGAGGTGGCAGCTCAAGAGAAGATCACACTCAGGGAGTTCGAGCTTCGGGCGGCGGCATTGACGGAGGGTGACAGTCGGAGTCGGCGGCGAGTAGCGAGGGAATTAGAATCCTTCTTGTCGGGTGCGCGCGACACTATGGCGCACTTGGAGTCGGAAGTGACTGCAGCCCTCCGACGTCTGGGGTTGCGCAGCCGGTCGGAAGATTGGCAAGGTAGAGATAGAGAGCGAGGCAGTCCGGCGCGCAGGAGGCGCAGCACCGGATCTGCAGAGTGCAGTAGTGTAGTTTGGTTTCGTGCAAGTGTTGCGAGTAGTAGATAGGATAGCGTAGTGTTAGTTAGGACCTTTGAGGGTATAAAGTAGATCAAGGCGTTTTGCCTTGGGACTCTTCCAGTTTCGGAAGTGCAGATTAGGAACTCACTTTCTTGGCGTGTTTGTGCATTTTGGTCCTAGCACCACGTAGAGAAGCTGCAGCATAGCGAAGTTACCGTATGTTGTAGTTGAAGGCCTTCGGCTGAATGTTCAGAGCTAGTACCCGGTTAGAGTCTTGAGTAGTGCGGATCTGCACCTGCGGGTGATTTCTGATGCTCAGAGCCGGTTGCGAGTTAGAGACTTGAACAGTTCCCCCTTACTCCTTCGAGTGACATATCCTGATTGTACTCCTACGGGAAGTTTCCCCTGAATGCCAAAGTGAAGTTTTATTACTTCGTGTAAGCCTTGGTTTGCAATTCAGGTTGTGTGTGTGTGTTACTGGATTGTGTCTCAGTTCAGTTCTCAGTCGGGCCTGTACCCCCTGCGTTTGGTGTGAGTCGAGGGTGACGTCCACGGCGTATGAAGGGGCTTCGTTCCGAAGTGGGAAGTCCAGTCCGGGTTCCCTACGCTAGTTCCTGGCGGAAGGGCAGTAAAAGCCGGAGTGGGAGTCACTACCTGCAGAACCTCTGAGTGAACTTTTGAGACACTTTCCCCCTGAAATCCGAAGCGGAGGTCCTGACCGACCTCCGAGTTGTGCTTTTGCCAGTTTCAAGTGTGTGTGTGTGTGTGTGTGTGTGTGTGTTGAGTGACTACGCTGTACTGTGCATCCTCCGAGCATCCTCCGAGTCGAGCCTCCGAGTCGAGCACTGCAGTATTTCTGGGAGTGATAGTCGCCTGAGAATTCAAACTCTACAAAGTCTGTTAAACGTGACACTTTTACTCTGTGTGTTGCCTCTGTCCCTGTGGGTTCGATCTTTTTACCACCATACTGCAGTTTTAGCCTTTGGTGGGTTGTTACAGAAGGCGCATACTTCCCAGGCCTCGTACGTCTTCAGCGAAAGCTCTTCTGCAGGGGTCTGAACCGAAGGCGCTTTGCCGAAGACCCCTCAACAAGAAAACTTTTGCCAAAGGCGCCAGAGGCGCTCCCCTCAATAGGAACCATCCGTTCCGGCCAAGGCGCTTGTCCTCGACATTGCGTCCAACTCCGTGATTCTCCGTGACCCGTGATCTTCCATTTTTACTCTATTTTTGTGTACCGATTACTATTTACAGTTGCTTCTGCGGTACTTGTTTTCCAAAAATGTTTAAATTCCGCACAGAAACGAAAAGTGGGTTACCACAGGAAGCTCATCCGACGATTCGACAGACCCGAGGTTAACAATAGGTTCCTCGTTCGATGCTGACTTCTTCATGGTGATCGAGGGCTCAGAAGGGTAAGACGTGTGTGGTTGCAGCCAGAGTTCTTTTGAAAAAACAGTATAGAAGAATTAGAGCAGCTTCATGATGAGAATTAGGTTCTCAGCTCTCAAATTCTTGGGGGTGAACACTGACTCAAAAACTATACGTCAATTACTTCCATTGGATTGAATCCAACTGTTAGGGTTTTAATTAAACTAAGACATTTGAGGAAAATATCTTATTAGTTCATCTCTACTTATGTCGTCTGAAGAAAAATGTGACTTCTAGATTATTACAGACAAATTCATCTTCGAATTTATGACCTTACAATGATACTGAATGAACTTTTAGATTTTTAGAAATCAAGCAGTTCAAAAAATGTTTTGAAATATTCATTGGTATTTTTCAAGCTTTAATTTTTTAATTCTTCACTTGATATTTTAAAACCATACCAATTTTTAAGAAATAATCAAGTGGAATTCAATTCAAGCATATATTCAATTCTAATTATTGTCTTGCAAATGATGCTATTTTTTATTCAATAATACATTTATCATAACTCATATGTTTTAAATAATTCTTAAAGTTTCTTGCGTACAGGTGTAATTGAAATCACGTCTCTACACAATGAAAATTATAAAATGAAAATTTTAAGTAAATTACAAAATCTAACTTTCATTAATTTAAATATAAATAATTTGAACGATGACAGAAAAAAAATTCATGTTTAGAAAAATAACAACTCTGAAAATGCTTTATACGTAAAAGTATCTAGGCTATTTTGTGTTTTATTATTTTACATACCTTTTTTAGGATATAAAAATTATGAATTATTTTTATTTATTCATCTTGCTGAAAGTTCTTAAACTGAAACAAATGGAGAGATCTTTCAATGTCAAAAAATAATACTTTTATTGTAAATAAAAGTTTCTATTATCAGTTGTCTTCATTTTAATACTTCTAATATTAAATTGAAATGTAAATAACGTCACTTTAGGTTTGGCATCTTTTTCTTGGCAGCTTCAATCAAATATCAAGAAGTAAATCCAACTTTCCATTATCAGTTGTCTTCATTCATTTGCTCGTTTAAATCGCTGAAAAGTTCTTGATTTTTTTGAATATTATGTAGATACGACCTACTTGATGGCAAAAGGTATGTTATTTCTTCCAGCAAAAACATCAATGCTAATAAACATGAATATTTATCAAGAACAAGATAAATATAATTGATTTCTCAAAGGCAAAAATCATAATATTAGAAACATCCATCTCAAACAGCAAGAAAATTCTAAATATTATTATGGACTGAACAGACATTAAAACAATCCAAACTGAGTTACTACAAGATTTGTTCCAAATCTCTGACACATAGAGCTTTGCTTACGGCACAAGTTCCTGATTCAAGTATGCAGTGGATGTGTTTCGAATGAATACACTTTCATAAATAAAAGTCCTGTATATAAATGCACGTGTCCGCTGAGCAATAAAAAGATCAATTTTTGGCAATAAGGTCAGCATACGCCGAACACTATAATGTATCTTCGATGTGGGTTCTTGAGCTTTTAAACTACACTTGTTGTGTAGGAACTTTTAAACGTGTTACCTAGTGCAACGGACGAGAGCTGATCATACCCAAGAGTATTTCCAGACAGTATAAACGGTTTCCGAACGTATATTTATATTTCATGAAATTTCAGAAGTCACCAAATGCATCTTTCAACAACTGTCTCTAATCTGAATGTTGCTTGCTAAGATCGAGTTGCCTCGAAATTTCCAAAAACTAATTCAGGCGAATTGAGCTCTCAGTGCCTTGACTACATCACCAGATATGCCAAAAGAAACCTCGAGCAGCTTATCAGAGATTGGCGCGGATGTATTGAACAGAGTATTCGGCAGACGGACAAGCCCTGCGTTGGAGCTGCTGAATCCACCAAGTGCCGTCACGGTCTTGTACTTGTCGTTGTTGATCTGGAAATGAACGAGGCCTTTGGGGAAAGCGAAGATGTCGCCCTTGTACAGCGTGTTGGTGAAAAGTTTGTTCGTGGTATCGACCAAACCCACGTCCAGAGTGCCTTCGATAATGAACAAAAGTTCCGTTCCACGAGGGTGAGTGTGGGGCGGGTTCACGGTGCCAGGTGGAAACTGAAGCAAAGCCATGGAAACACCGAGTCCATCGACTGCGAGAAATGGAGCTTTTGCTGGAGCAACCAGATTAGCTGTGGTGACAGTTGCAAACGGTGAAGCCACGTTGGGCATGACGTTCCTCAAGGCCTCGCTGGTGAAGAACGTTCCATCGATATCGGCTGCATTGATTCCTGCTGGGACCTGGAAATCCTTCGTGAGTTCTGGATCAGAGGCCTGCACGGACTGCAGAGTTAGAGCAACTGCAACGAAAACTAGCAGAGCGAATGAAGAATGTCGAATACGACCCATTTTGTCGGATGGTGATAGACTGCTGAAGATAATCTGTGCCTTAATCTCTGAAGATTTCGAAGAGTGTGAAAATGCTGCAGGCACTCGATGAGCTTGAAAACTTTTTTTGAAATTTTGTGCACAGATTTGTGTTTCAGGGCTAGATCATCACTCTAGATAGGAGAAAGTGGCTTGCTTCCTCAGAAATGATAGCGCTTCTTTATACTAGCACAAGACCATTCTTCTGATCCATTGTCTCGCAGTAGAAATGCATCAATCAAGTTCCACTATTCATTTCACAATGCATCAATATTATTTCCAAATGGGACCTGCATCAATGTAGTGCAAGAATATGTTGACAAATTCGTTGCTCTGATATATCTGGGACAGTGTTTCTTAATCTTAAGAATTTCGATAAGACGAAGTCTTTAGTAGAGACCTAGAACAAGATCTCTGAGATTCCGCAACATCCTAAGGTACAGGAGTGATTTTCAGCTCATTTCCCTTGGCCAGCTCAGAACCATGAAAGATTGTTACAGCGTGACAGACATCCCTGTTCAAGTGTAAAGCGTGACAGATATTCCCGTGTCCAGGTCAGCTTGTATTTTAATCTATTTGGATAGACTTTTATCACGCTTGTAGTGAAGTGATAGTTACGTTAAGAGATTTATTAGAAAGAAACTAACATTGAAATAGTTTTTTTGATACCATATCTTTGATAGACGACCAGATCAGTTATAAATCCAGATAATGGACTTGAATGTGCTATTTTATCGTTGTGGACCAGGTACTCTTCACTCAGATATCACAGCCTCATCTGCTCAAGACTTCCATTCGACCTTTTTTTTCAACAAAAACATGTTCCGCGTTAAGTTAACATGTAATGAAATGGGTATTGACCTCAATTTCTAGTATATCTTCTGTAACTGCATCATAGTTCATCTACCACGCCAGATAATACGGTTTTTCCTATGATGCGTCACTAATTGAGGATGATGTTTTAGTTCTTTGACTCTAGATACCATAGGTTATAATGTTGTGATTTGAAATGATCGTGTGACCAGTTTTATCCAGTTAGATTTATCGTTCATTCATTGATCTCATTGGGATCCAAGTCATTATGTCAAGGAAAACATTGTGATTTCCACAAGACGCCTATCCATGAAGATCAAGCGATTTTAAGATGTCGTAGAAGTGGACGGAGGCTGGAGCAGATGTGAATGATTCCATTAGCTGATTCCTCTGAGTCTGATTTTCAGTACGTGCTACTCAGCTTTCAGCATTTGAGAGGTCAATCAGGACTCATGAAATTTTTTTCTTTACAATCAAGTAAAGGGCAACAATCAGTAGGTCAATTTCTATTTTTTTCCCAATCGATCCAAAGCTTTATGTAAGTTACAAATTTGATCTTTCCATAGGTTGCAATACAGAATCTTCACCATGCCAACTTTATGTTCGGCATTACGTACAGTTCCTCTGCATACACAATCTATGACACTTTAGAGTATCCGAGCTACCGTTAATACCTCAATCTGAGGTCCTTTGGGGATACTGTGCTCCTGGATCTCTCCTAATGTCCCGGATCGGCATCTTCGTCGGTTTCTTTTCTTTCCAAGCAGTCATATGGAAGTCTTGAACAGAAGGTGTGGTCCACAACGATAATAATACACATACTATTCCGTTATGCGGATTGATTCCTGATCCTGGTCGTCTATCGAAGTTATGATAGGAAAATACTTCAATGTTGGTAATTTTGAATTATTTCCCTTAAAGAAACTATCACTTCACTACATGAGTGATAATAGCCTATCCAAATAGATGAAACATTAAAACTGAGGTCGCTATCGTCATGAAAATATTATACTTCACCACAGTGGACCAGAGATATTAATCACGCTGTAACAATCTTACATGACTCAGAGCTGGCTTAGGGAATGTAATGAAAAAACACTCCTGTAACTTAGGATATTGCGGAATCTCAGAGATCTTGGTCTGCGTCTCTCCTGAAGACTTCGTCTTATTGAAATTCTTAAGATTAAGATACAGTGTCCCAGGTAAGTCAGGGCAACGAACTTGTCAACCTCTTCTTGCACGGTTGATGCAGGTCCATTTAGACATAATTTTGATGCATTGTGAAATGAACAGTGCAACTTAGGTCTTGATTGATGCATTTCTACTGCGAGAACATGGATCAGAAGAATGGTCTTGTGCTAGTATAAAAACACGCTATCATTTCTCAGGAAGCAAGCCACTTTCTCATAACTAGAGTGATGATCTAGCCCTGAAACACAAATCTGTGTTTCACAAAATTCCCAAAAAAGTTTTCAAGCTCATTGAGTGCCTGCAGCATTTTCACACTCTTCGAAATCTTCAGAGGTTAAGGCACAGATTATCTTCAACAGTTTATTACCATCCGACAAAATGGGTCGTATTCTACATTCTTCATTCGCTCTGCTAGTTTTCTTTGCAGTTGCTCTGACCCTGCAGTCCGTGCAGGCCTCTGATCCAGAACTCACGAAGGATTTCCAGGTCCCAGCAGGAATCAATGTAGCCGATATCGATGGAACGTTCTTCACCAGCGAGGCCTTGAGGAACGTCATGCCCAACGTGGCTTCACCGTTTGCAACTGTCACCACAGCTAATCTGGTTGCACCAGCAAAGGCTCCATTTCTCGCAGTCGATGGACTCGGTGTTTCCATGGCTTTGCTTCAGTTTCCACCTGGCACCGTGAACCCGCCCCACACTCACCCTCGTGGAACGGAACTTTTGTTCATTATCGAAGGCACTCTGGACGTGGGTTTGGTCGATACCACGAACAAACTTTTCACCAACACGCTGTACAAGGGCGACATCTTCGCTTTCCCCAAAGGCCTCGTTCATTTCCAGATCAACAACGACAAGTACAAGACCGTGACGGCACTTGGTGGATTCAGCAGCTCCAACGCAGGGCTGGTCCGATTGCCTAATACTCTGTTCAATACATCCGCGCCAATATCTGATAAGGTGCTCGAGATTTCTTTTGGCATATCTGGTGATGTAGTCAAGGCATTGAGAGCTCAATTCGTCTGAATTAGTTTTTGGAAATTTCGAGGCAACTCGATCTTAGCAGGCAACATTCAGACTAGAGACAGTTGTTGAAGGTTGCATTTGGTGACTTCTGAAAGTTCATGAAATATAAATATACGTTCGGAAACCTTTTATAAGGTCTGGATATATCTTGGGTATGTCAGCTCTCCTGCATTGGAAATGAATGAGCTCAATGATTGTGATACCAATCTCATCGATGATCTGCATCGAATAAACCGTCGTCAAGTTTCTACTTAACTGAGCCCTAGGACTACCTACACCAGGCACTCAGATTGTCGCACTCTCAGGCACCCTTCGCAAGGGAAATGTTTCTTTGCCCTCTGCATGAGCCTTCGTGGATTCACGTATGCTTTCTACTACTGAGGAGATAGAGGTGCCGCTTGAAATCCAAGATCCACGATCATCAGGTACTTGTGAGGACTTAATCAGGCATTTTAATTATCGCGCGTGGTACAGACAGCTAATCTCATAACCACCACATAAGGGAAATCGTTTTTCTTACAACTCCTCGTCCACTTTCACATGAGCCAAGACTTCTGGAATGCCTTATTCCCTCTATATTCCCCTAAATTCTGCGACAATAATAAGATACGCGGTCTCCAATCTTATATTACCTTGATGTGATATAAGAATCGTCAAGAGGATGCTCTAACACTACCTATGGCAGAAGAGACTAATCCAATTACTCAAGAACCTCAATTATAAAAACTCATCTGATTAAATTTCATTCCTGCATATGTAACTCGAAAATTACAAAATATGTATATTTTCCACGGCTTCATTCTAATTAAATGCTCTAACTTTCCTTTATGCTTGGAAAATGTTAATATGTGTCATTTCAAAAGAGCAACTTTCTCTACTTTGATAGAACTGTGTTTTGTGATCGTGAGATTGACTTTAAACCTCAATCCTTTGAAGTTATTTCAGAGAGCAAATTCAAATTTCTGAACTATATGAGAAAAGCAGTTTACTTTACTATCTTGTTTCAATGGGAATCATGTGATGATATTGTGTTTCTGTGTAACAAGCGATATGATTTTTTTAACATATATGTAAGAGTTTGATGTGTATTCAAACCCAATTTATATATTGTTACTGTATAAAAATGTAGATTTTCATTAATACATGAATTACTAAGATAGCATTACTACTTCTATTTGATTTTTTTATTACTTATATTTATTTTGCCATTGTAATGTGATGTTTGTTATAGGATCACACGTATATGTTACATAAACATTGTTGAAATAATCTTTGCTGTGGGTTGCAAAATAATGGTAAGAGAAATAACGTGATTTAAGATTAGAAACTAATTAATCATTTTATGAAAAATTTATTCATGTTTCATAATCAAGAATATGATATGAAAGTATAAGATCTGAAGCTTTAGATATGAAACATATGTTACATAATGTCTACGTTGCTTAAGAATTAAAATAACATAAAAATATAAAATTTGACAATTATTTATAGCTAACATTAAAAAAATATTGCATACAAATAACAAAAGTAATCACAATGCATATATTTATTACAAAATGAAGATGGGACGGATTTTGGAATGCGGGTTGCATGGAAGATATTCATTGAACAATTCGAGCAATAATTTACACTAAAAATATTAGATGAATAAAATTCACATTTACTCACCGCCTAAACGAAGGTATCTGACTAAATGAACCTAATTCAGGTGATTTAGATATAATCTAAATAGGCTGTATCATAATAATTTTGTGCATCTATTACTAGCCGATCGAAGTGGAAGACACCGAAAATTGATACTACCTAATGTGCATGCAGCTGACGAGATTCGGCTACAAGCAACGACAGAAAGAGCTCGAGATCAGCACGAGGCGGCTGCCTTCTCGACCTCGGCTTCCCAGTACGAGGTGAAGGGCGTCGGGGCAGTGTCGTAGGGATTCGGCAGATCATCATTCGTGACATAGACCCTGCCGGCGCGAAACTGCTTCGATTTGGTCATGGTTGAGATGAGGTTGGCTTCAGTCACGTTGTACACGATGTGGTAGAAGCGTGCCGGGTCATAGTTGGCCATGTACGCGTGGGGAGCGTACGAAGCATAGCTCGCGTGAGAATCTGCACGACAGAAACATCACGTCATTCATTCACATTCACAGGAGCTCGAAAATGAATAACATTCGATTCCATTCCAATCCATCGACGGCAGGACTCACTCTCGAAGGTGACGAAGTTGTCGGCG